GCAGCGCCGAGGCCAGGAGGCGTCCGAGGCGGCAGCGGCGGCGCTCGGCCGGCATAGTCCCCGGGCCGCCCGCTCAGAACGCTGGCGCCGCCGGGCCCGCCACCCTGGCTCCTGGAGACACCATGGGCGCGTCAGGGAAGGCGGCGGCGGCCAGAGCCTGGGCTGAGGCCGGGACGGCGGGCGGCAAGCGACAGCGGTGCCGGCCGCAGTGGCGGCGGAGACTGCATTAATTATTGAGACTGCCCTATAAATCAGTTTTAAAACTGTCTCACTGATATTTGTTTCTCAATAAAATAAAATAACTGTATGGACACTAATTCAAATTTTTACATATACTGAAATCATCTTCATATTGTTTCTTTTTGTGAGACAGGGTCTCACTATGCAGTCCAGGCTGACCTCAAACTCACAGAAATCCTCCTGCCTCAGCCTCCCAAGTAGCCTGATATAAAAATCTCTAGTTCAGGCAAATGTGGTTGGGAGAACTAAGACACCCTTTTACCACCTAGTCCCCCCTCCCACTTAGACAAAGAAGCTCTATTTAGGTAAAACAAGGCCAATCTTACGCTGACTGTTCTTGCCCAATCTCATTTAGATGGTAAAGGATCAACATCAAGAACCTTCATGATATTAAGGATTTTTGTTAATTTTGTTAGCACTAATGATGGATATTATAATATACATATTTTTCTTAATTAAAAAGGTTGTGGTTATTTAAAAAAAATTCATAAGAAGACCAAGGTCTGCCATCTCTGCCCAATGCCTAATTCATAGAATAGAGTGTCATCTCAAGAGAAACCATTGTCTTCACTCTCAGCCCCCAGATCAGCAGTGCAAAGCTCTGCCTAGGGAAGAGGCAGACTATAAGCAGATAGCTGACTCCTTTTTTTTTTTTTTTTTTTTTTGCGGAACCAGGGATTGAATTCAGGCCCAGGCAAGCACTTATTCTACTGAGCTATACACCTGGCCCCAGCTCTGACACCTTAAAAAACAAGGACTGCCGGTTCCGGTAAAAAAAAAAAGAAAAGAAAAAGAAAAAGAAAAAGAAAAAGAAAAAGAAAAAGAAAAAGAAAAAGAAAGAAAGAAAGAAAAACTAGGACTGGAAATCCCATTCAATCCAGCTATCCCCCTACTAGAAATTTTCCCAGAAGAACTGAAAACTTCATACACAGTGATGTATGTGCACCTATGTTTATAGCAGCACAATTTGTGATAGCCAAATCTTGGAAGCAACCAAAATGCCCATCACCTGAGAAATGGATGAAAAAGACGTGGTATTTTTATACCATGGAGAATTACTCAGCTATAAAGAATGATAAACTCAAAGCCGTCATATATAAGTGGATGCCACTTGAAGATATACTCTTAAGTAAAATAAACCAGATCCACATGTGTAAATATCATATAGTCTTCTAGCGTAAGAACTCAAAAGAAGAAATAAAAACACAAAGTTATAACACAATTTTAAAAAAGCGAGAACTTAAGAATTATATAATGAAGAGAGGGCAAGGAGAAAAGCTAGGAAACATGACAGGGGCAAAACCATACATTTATATGCACAAGATGGGCAAGGCAATGATCCTGAGAATCTTCAGCATGTTTCTGAAACTAGAAGTTAATTGGTGGAGTTCTCACCCTGACTAACTATATATGCTGACATCTGTGAACTAAGAAGCTGCACTGAAGATAGCAATGTGTAATACTAAGGTCATGTTTGGAATTGCCCGTCATTCTTGTCTTCTAAATACATACTGCTTGTCATGCCATATCAATTACTACTATTCTGTCTCTCAAGTAAATGTTTGTTTAAAAAAAGAGTAATAAAAGAAATCATGAGACATGAAAAAAAGTCATAGGACTGTCCTGCTACAACACTGTATATGGTTAGATTCTTAATTTCTGTGTAAAAAATATGTAATGCTTATTCCTATTTTTAAAATAGTTTTCATTTATTTATTTTTTTCACATTCTGTAAGGATTTAAAGTCTAACATAACAATACT